ACATGATCATAATGAAAACGATTAACACATAAAAAGTAGATAAAAAGTACGGGTGTTACACTTTTCTGGGCATACCCGACCGGGTATGTCGGCATACCCGACCAGGTATGTCGGCATACCCGATCGGGTATGTGACAAATCTTTTACGAAATCTTGCTCCCACGTTCACTTGTCCTCGGATTTGATTTGGACAATCGAATCAAGCAAATACCCGATCGGGTATTGCTTATACCGGACCGGGTATAAGAGTATTTTATCCAAATCGAAATCTTTCTTGCCTCCTTGCACTTTCCTTGATCTTTAGAGGTCCAATCTTGATCCTTTGGATGATCTTTGACCTGTTTAGCTCAGAAAAATTCTAATCTAAACAATTTACAAATAAATATGAAAATAAAGTATTACACCAAAAGTGTGTAATTTCCACAACTAGAACTAATAAAAACTAGTTAAAAATACAAACATACAATCTGAAATTACATGAATATCAACTCCCCCACACTTAGCTTCTTTACTCGTCCTCGAGTAAAGTCAAATGTTTAACAGTTCCAAGTCCTTAAAAGTTCAACAATTAACCAGAAAAAGCAAAAGACCACCAAGGATAACATATGAGTTTAACATTGAGTGTTTAGCTCAAAAAACAGTATCTTCTTGGGTTTCATGGTCTTCTATGCTCATCTCCTCTTTTCATCTTCAAGAGATTAAATGATGTCCTGTAAAAACAAATATATCTCTCATATCTCTCATTTTGCCTAGGATCTCTTTTCAGGTTTTCATCCTAGCATATCTTTTTATTTTTCCACCTTTCCACTCACTCATCATTTATGCCTTCATTTATTCTTGTTCCAGGATCGGGCTCGATCGAGTAGGGGTGATACTCGATCAAATCTTCTTCGCCGCATGATTTCCCGTAAATATACCCGACTGGGCATATTAATGTACCCGATTGGGTATCACGTCGGATTTTCAAAAATGGCTCCAGGGTTGTGTGTCCGGTCGAGTATGGGGTGTACTCGATCGGATTTTCTTCGCCGTAGGATTTCTTAAAATATACTCGACCGGGTAAATTAATATACCCGATCGGGTATCCGTTTATATTTTTTTCTACCCCGATCGAGTATAGAGTACTCGATCCAAATCTGGCGTTTCTCTGATATACCCGACCGGGTGGGGTGTTGTTACCCGATCGGGTACTTCACCCTGGAGCTTGATTTCGTTCATTTTTTTGGCATGGATCCGACTGGGTAAGTGATTATGCCTGATTTGAGGTTTCCCCAAGCTTTCAAAACTCATTTTTTTCTCCCCTTTCTTTGGAGATTTGTGTCCCATTCTCTCAAAGTTGACATTGAAAAATAAAAACAAAAACAAGAATGAAAAAAAAACTACATACCTTCACTTGGGTTGCCTCCCAATAAGCGCCTTAGTTAACGTCACGGCACGACGTTATTTTCTCTACTTCAATCTTTCATGTTCAGGTCATGATGACCCATTCTCTGCACATTTCTACCCTGGTGACTCTTATAGAAGAGCTCAATTCGCCGACCACCAATTTTGACAATCTTTCCAGGATCAAATATCCTGATTCCCATTGTTTTATGTTGTGAGAGCGAGGGGAAATTTGTACCGATTAGCATGGTCAACGGAAAGGGTTTTGATCTTGGTGGCATAAGAGGGGGTATCAAATGTTTACTTAACTCCACTGTCATTTCCTGCATATTTGTGAAGGAAAAGAAATCCAAATGATACTCTCTCGGTTTATTCGCAACCGCTACAAGTACATTTGAATTACCCTCACATTCGCTGAAGATTTCGTCTTTGTCCTTCTCTACCCTTTGTGTTTCCCTTAGAGCCTCAGGAAATGGTGGCATGATCTCAGGAATGGCCGATGGTGGAGTTGAGTTTTTAGGTTCATCCTCCTCCGGTTGAGCTTTTTCTGCAGGCTCCTCTTCTTCCTCCTCCTCGCGGATGTAGTTCACAACGCTTGACATTTGTTTTATTTGATTCTCCAAGTTCGATTCGTTGGACACTGTCTCTTGCGGGCATTGTGACATAGTTGTCTGCATACTCGTCAAGTTGATAGTGAGGGCTCGGACCATGTCTTCAGTGGACATGCTAGAATAAGAATTCGCATACATGTGATCTCTCCTTGGTAGATTATATGTGTTGGAAAACAGATCATATTTCCATGGGGAACCAACATCATCAGCTTGTTGAAAGTATTCTTCCTAGAGCTTCGGACAAAAATCCGTAATATGCCTGTGAGACTTGCAAATATTGCAGGTCTTGACATCTTGAGTTTCTGAGCTTAAGATAAACTCCTTTATGAGAGAAGCCAAGACGGAAATTTGACTTTCTAAGGATGACATGTTAGTATCCATATACTCATGTAAGCTCAGAAAATCGAAAAGTAATATATATATATATATATATATGATTTTTTTAATTTTTTTTTGAAATAAAATAAAAAGAAAAATAATTGCCTTTCCCCGGCAACGGCGCTAAATTTGATGTGCACTTGTCGTGGTGTGCACTCAAAATAATTAAATACAATACAACAGTTATACATAGTATAACAAAGTAAGGTTCGTATCCACAGAGAAAGAAATACTTTCTTTTAATTAAATAGTAACAAGGGGGTTTTTAGATTGTTTTTGGAACTTAAATATATTTAAACACTAAGATGAATGACTTATGTGTTTTAGTTAATAGAGATGGAGACTTGGTTTTGCTTTTATCCACTTAATGAAATGTTTGTCGATCCCGGTTATATCTTTAACTATTTTCCTCTCGAATACTCAATCGAGGAGTATATCCAATTCATCGAGGGTAGTTATTAATAGCGAGACGCGTTCATTAATAAAACTTACTACCGAGTTAATATAGAACACGCGCCGTATATTAACCCGATAGTAGCAATAAACTTAAGATGAAAACGATTGAGATTGATAATCTCAACACAAGCGGTTTATTGGTTTAATCAATATAGTTAATTCCCTATAGATTATTAACCATGAGACACATGCATTAATAATCCAAGTTTACTACCGTTGAAAGAACCGAATTAATAACAAGCGTATTAATCGATTGATTCTAGTAATAATTAATATATGAAACAAAACTAGTTGATCCTTTAAGTAATGCTCAAAATATTAATATGAAATATTAATGTCGAGATGTTAACTAATGATCATCTTAGCAACACTCCCCAACATTAATATAGAAATAGATTAAGGGAATAATTAATATTCAAGGAAGAAGCTAAGATTAAAGAAAGTAAATGCTACTATAATTTATGTCGAGATGTTAACTAATTGTCATCTTAGCAACACTCCCCAACATTTATATAGAGCTAGATTAAATTAATATTCAAGGAACAAGATTAAAGAAAATAACTCACAACTTACAATTCATTAAGCTTCAAAGTAGAAAAACCAAGATGGAAGAGTTTAGCTCCTCATTTGAAGACTAAACATGATGAAAATATAAAGAAAGAACTATTTTAGACTGAGCTTAGAAATTAGAAGTATATGTGAATTGGTGATTTTATTGTGAAGGAAACAAGTGTATTTATAGGCTTTTGGGAGCTGCAGGGTCTGATACCCGACCAGGTATATAGGATACTCGATCGGGTATCTTAGGAAATTTCCCAGAAAGTCACTTTTCTGGGCATACCCGACCGGGTATGTCGGCATACCCGATCGGATATGTGACAAATCTTTTACGAAATCTTACTCCCACGTTCATTTGTCCTCGGATTTGATTTGGACAATCGAATCAAGCAAATACCTGATCGGGTACTGCTTACACCCGACCGGGTATAAGAGTATTTTATCCAAATCAATATCTTTTTTGCCTTCTTGCACTTTCCTTGGTCTTTAGAGGTCCAATCTTGATCCTTTGGATGATCATTGACCTGTTTAGCTCAGAAAAGTCCTAATCTAAACAATTTACAAATAAATCTGAAAATAAAGTATTACACCAAAAGTGTGTAATTTCCACAACTAGAACTAATAAAAACTAGTTAAAAATACAAACATACATTCGGAAATTACATGAATATCAGGGTTCTGTTGTGCGCAACAGAATACCTCGAGGGGTTCTCTGGTCGCTCCCAACAGAATACCTCAAAGTGTTCTGTTCGCTCCGGACCAGAAGGTCGCGTGGTGTTCTGTTGCGCAACAGAAGACCTCGATGTCTTGGTCTTCTTGTCCGTTACAGGACTTAATGCCCAACGTTCTTCTCCATTAATGTGCGCTTTAAATGGACAATTTTCGACATATTAATGCCCAACGTGTTGGACATTTATATGCAACGTTCAGGTCCATTAAAGTTCAGTTAATACATAACAAATCCTCCTGTAAAAAGCTGAGAGGTGCTTTGCAACAAGGTACACATTCACAAACGAACTCACGCACTTTTGAGCTCTCGAAAAACACTGCTACCATTCTGAAAATTTCCTTCTGTGTTCATACTTGTTTCCGTTCGCTGGAACTTTTGTTTGTGTGTTCAAACAACAGTTCGTAGTCATCGTATTCTGGGAAACGATTCTTGCAATGTTCCTAGCACCGTGAGAGACAACGAATACGTTTTAAGAAAATCGTGCGTAGCACGAGCTCTGGCTATTTTCTGCTCCATCTTATTTCTGTTTTCTTTAGCTATTTTATTTATTAATTAATTTTTATTAAATAATATTTCTACGTTTTTTGAGCAATAGGCTCCACCCCTTTGCCGATCTCGAGATCGTCTTCGTCACTCACTTCCCTGCCGTCGGATGCCGGAAGGCATTCTGCCTTGTGGCAGAGGATTCTGATCCGAGGTAATATGGAGTATTAGTCAGCATAGCCAAAGGAAAAAACGTTAGAAGTTACGGCATTGTTGTTCTCAACAAGTCAACGGGTAAATTGATTAAATTGTCTTTAATGGAGAGACCAATTAGTGGGTTCTAATGCATTCGACTCTGATGACTATTTAACGTGCTTCTACGGTAACATAAACATCCTCCACTTAAACTGTAGTATTGGTATTGCCTCTCTTTTGACTCCATCCTTCAATCATGGCTGTCTTCTCCCTCCTCATTCTCCTTTTCTCTGCTCTCTCTTTCTTTTTTCTCCCTACCTTTCTTATCAGCGGCGAGCCTCCACAGCTCCGCCGGGCTATACAGAACACAGCTCATTCCAGAGCATTTTCACAATGACACCCCAACTACCTACTTCGAGGTCACTAAGCCCATAAAGCTCCCAAAGACCAAACCTTGCTCATACCTACTTCTCCAACATGATTTCGAAAACACGTACTGGCAGCAGCCCGTTCTTGCGAACTACACCCGCCCTTCGAACTGCCCATCTCAGAATTTCTCCAAAATTGTTCTTGAATGGGAGGCCACGTCTAAAGGCAGGCAATTTGACCGGATCTTTGGGGTCTGGCTCGGTGGTGTTGAGATCCTCCGCAGCTGCACTGCCGAACCTAGAGCGACGGGCATTGTGTGGACAGTTAAAAAGGACATTACTAGGTATTATCCTTTGCTGATGAGCAGTGATCAGATTCTTGCTGTTTATTTGGGCAACCTTGTTGATAGTACTTATACTGGTGTTTATCATGTGAAAATCAAGATTCATTTTTACCCGTATGAAGAAAAGTCTAGTTTTTATTCTGGGGTTGCTGATTTAATACTTCCAGTTTCAAGAAATTTGCCGTTGAATGATGGGTTATGGTTTGAGATCCAGAATTCAACAGATATCTCCTCAGAGGAGGTCAAGATTCCTCAAAATGCTTATAGGGCTGTATTGGAGGTTTATGTGTCATTCCATGAAAATGATGAGTTTTGGTATTCCAATCCTCCTAATGATTTCATAGCTGCAAATAACCTTACTGATGTTTTCCCTGGGAATGGACCATTTAGAGAGGTTCTTGTCAGTCTAGATGGTAAAGTTGTAGGAGCTGTTTGGCCCTTCACTGTGATTTACACAGGAGGCATAAATCCTCTCTTATGGAGACCCATTACTGGAATAGGTTCATTTGATCTCCCTTCATATGACATTGAGATAACTCCCATGTTAGGGCTAATGTTAGATGGGAAGAGTCATAAGATCTCATTCAGTGTCACAAATGCATTGAATGTTTGGTATATTGATGCAAACTTGCATCTTTGGTTGGATGGTGACAGTAAAAAAACAGAAGGGAAGCTCATAAAACACAAAAGCTTCCCTCTTTCCTTGTCTCCAGAGTCAAACTTCACTGGCTTAAACGGTTCTTTCTTGACAGAGTCTAATCGGACCATACAGTCGACCGGATGGGTGAATTCATCTCATGGAGTAATTCGTACCAAAACAGTTCAAAATTTCAAGTATTCCAATTTCATGGTTATAGGGAATGAAGGGAATATGCAGATGGTAAACCAGACAATTCATTTCCGGGATGCTGTTTATTCCAAGAAGCCGTCTTCTTCAAGTCATTCCTTCAAATCTGCTAAGAAATTCTATGTGTCTTTGCATTCTGATAGCATGGATCAAGGAAATAAAACATTTACTTCTGTGGCGAATCTGACATTGGGATTCCATGAAAAAACGATCAAATCTTTAGGTTCAAGATTATCCAATACTTCTCTCAAGAATTTACAGAAGGGGAATGGATCCTTGCTGGTAAAGGACAACTTGGTTGTGAATGGATTGGCGAGTACTCAACAAGCATACCATTATAGTGAAGATTCTTTCCGCTACTCGAGAAATATTGGCAGCTCAAACTACACTATTCTCTATGACAAACAAAAATATGCATGAAATTGATGAGATTTTGTGTTTTCAAATATACTACGTATGTTTTTGTTTAAAAATATTACCGGCTACAACCTTCCCCTCAAGTGAAGGGCGATTTCGGAAAGATAACAATGGAATTTTGGTTATACTATAATTACATGAAAAATTCCTTTTGTACACGTTCTTATACACATCAATATACTTCCGTGTTTGTGAGCGTTTTTTTTTGTCTGTGAATCTCAATCGATAGACAAAAACTGGCTTGTTTTGTCTGTAGAATTTTCACAGACAAAACAAGCCGATTTTGTCTGTGAATTGGGATTCTTAGACAAAAAAACCTCTCACAGACACGGAGGTGTACTGGTGTATATAAGAATGTGTACACCAAGAATTACATCTAATATCTAATGATATTAGAGGAACATTGCTAACATCTAATACTACTCCCTCCGCCCCGCAAAGAAGTTCACGGTTTGATCTACACATATTAAGGAAATAAACTTACCAGGGGGTAAATTTTACTGTTTTGACGCTGTTTCGACACTGTTTGGCATTGTTTGATACTGTTTTGCACTGTTTGGCACTGTTTTGATATAGATAACTTCTCATTTAAGGAAAGGAGGACTTCTTTTTGGGACTGCTAAAAAAGGAAAGCGGGAACTTCTTTGCGGGACGGAGGGAGTATGAATTATGTTGTACTCTGTAGTCTATGCGATTATTGTTATTTTTGTTTTTATTATTAAGGGTCTTTGTCTATATTTACTCAATGTATGAAGTATATATTATAACAATTTCTAATGTATTCAAACAACTCGCTCAAGAAAAGATTTAGAAAAATTTCATGATTTTTGCGGCAACATTGAAACACTCTATGACAGAAGTATTAATGTTTCATGGTTTAATTATTATCATTACTATTAGTATGATAGCATCATTATGGTAATTATTATTACTACTACTTTATGGTTAGTATATGGTATATATTGCCTATTATGGTTTATTAGTTTATTGTATATTGTGTTTGCTGCTATTAATTATTAACATAATAATCTTATGTCTTAATTATAGGGTTAGGTCATATTAATTGTATTATTTTGGTTTAAATGAGTTACAATCTACTTTAGTGATCTAATGTCTTAATTACAAGTCATGATTGTCTACTTCTCTTTTTAGATGGTGTAATTGAATTTCCACCTAATTAAGTTGACAAATTTTAATTTTATGCCTGAAATTTAGGTAATAATTGTAGCTTTTTCTTTTTAGATGGCGTAATTGAACTCTCTTTGAATTGTCCAATAATTCTAATTTTATGTATTATTAAGAGTTGGTAATGATTGCAGTTATTATCTTTCTGATTTTTTCAAATATAATAGATGGACCTTGTGGATTGATTCTTCGAGAGTCATGACACTAAGGCTGATATCTTGTTTTTGCATCGAATTCATATATGTTCTTGAAATTCAAATCATAAATTGTAAAATACATCAATATTAAAAAAAACTATAAATTAATAATAAGCCATTTCGTAACATATGATGTTTTCTTTTGGACTGAAATTTGCTGGTCTGATCTAGTCTAGTCTAATCTGAACTGGTCTGATAAATGTTTGGTCTCTGTGTATTTTATAACTATGGAAGTCTAGTCTGGTCTGATTTGGTCTGATCTGATCTAATCGGGTATGGTCTGGTTAGGGGTGGGCATAACGGTTTGGTTTGATCGAACCGAACCGTACCAAACCGAATTAAACCAAACCGAAACCGAATCATTTGTAATTTCATTTGAGTTTGGTAGTATTCCTCCCAACCCATATTAAACCGAACCAAACCGAACCGAACCTATAAAACCGAATAAAACCGAATAAAACCAAATAAAACCAAACTAATCTAAAAATGAAAAAAGTTCTTATTTTCTTAAAATAACAAATCAAAACCAACTTACACCAAACTAAACCAAACCAAAATATAAGATTTCTCTCATTAATTTGATTGGTGTTAATGTTTTTGAAGCTTTAATTCTTTAATTTTAGTATCCAGGACTAGAGTTTACTACAAGAGTTACATTCACAACTATAACAATTATAGTGGCTTAAGTAGATAGTATTTAACTATAATTTATTATGTACTACTATTATATATTTGGTTCATTACTTACAAGCACCAGTTTTGTTTTTGTTTCATCTTTATATATAATTTGATTCATTCCCGTTGTTGTTGCTTACAAATGTGTCATGTTTATATATTTTTGGTTCATATGTGTTTTGTTACTGTTTACAAATTTATATCTAACATTATATTTGGTTCATTACTATCGCTTCTTGGTTCATTATTTTATGTTATTTTTTTTATTTCAATCCAAACATTAATACTTTGGTAAACCGAACTCCAAACCGAACCGAACCATACCAAACCGAAATCAAACCAAAACTTAACCGGTTTGTATTTGGTACATTTTCTATCAAACTGATTAAACCGAAACAAAACCGAAATGCCCACCCCTAATCTCGTCTAGGATTGAAAACAATCTAAAAGAAAACATCCTTAAAACTATACATATGAGGTCTAAGAATTTAACAATTTATAAACAATTTTTATAGTGCAAGTAATAAGTATTAAACATGTGTAAAATGAAAAATAATATAATAATAAAAGTATCTATTTCTTTCATTAAATATTATAGATCTTATTAGTATTGGAATTTCATATCACAATCTCATAGTTAAAATCAATAATTTTGATCCTTTTTCACTAAAAAAGCATCTGATTTTGTTACAATTTTGCTAAATGATATTTTACAATTGTACCACGATTTTGTACGATTTCTTATGATTCAAATAGATTTATTAATGTAGAATCATAACATTTGAACCGAGATTCTAACAACGCTTACAAGTCACCATATTGTTGCCTAGAAAATACTATAATCCGTAGGCAAGCGAACATTATATTGACATTCCACCCAATCAGAATCATAGTAAGTAATAGTGATGAAAGTATAAGGTGAGGACTGAAGCATCGCACCATGATATCAAAGGGCAGATGTAATGTAAATATATGAAAATACACTTGAAATTCAAAAGTGTGAAGTACGAGGCACGCATGAACCGAGAAATTAAATGTAAAATGTAAGTAATATAAAGGCATTTTAATAAAATATTATAAAGCAACCACTGTACTCATGTACTCTATTTAATCAACATGAAGTTCACCATGTGTGAGTGTCACTACAAAAAAACCACATGATTGGCAGAGATTTTGGCAAAGATTTGACAGAGATTTTGGCAGGGAAATGCCAAATTCCTTCCAAAAAATACTTTGGCACGAGCTATTTGGCACGAAAAATAAGTAAGTCCGTGCCAAATTCCATGTTAATCCCGTAATTTTTTTGTAGTGTGTGAGAGAAAGGTTCTAGAAGGTCAGAAAGGGGTGTGTAAGAAGCTGTTCTCTTTGTCTGATCTGAATGTTTCTGATCTGAGTTTTTTAAGATTTGATCTGATCTGGGTGAACATATCGGTTTTCGGTTTTTATTGATTTCCGGTGGTTCTCGAACCGGAACCGGAGTAGCTTACGGTTTGGAACCCAAGGTTCTAGGTAGCGGTTCGGTTCTTTGGATTTTGAAGAACCGGAACCGGCGGTTCCGATTCGGAACCAGAACCGGCGGTTCCGGTTTGGAACCACTTTTTTAAAAAATAAAAATAAAAATAAAATAGAAATTAAATAAGTAAATAATAGTAATTGTAGTTGGTATTGGTCCACCGCACTGGGCCATCCCTGAGCTGCCTTTGGTCCACCTCATTTAAGGAGTTGGTCTCCTATTTATTGCCTTGGCCCAATTTGGGCTGTCTACCCGACCAAGCCCACTCCCCCTATTTGTATTCTACCCAGCCCATTCCGTTTGTGGCCCTTTGATATATTTGTCCGGTTCTTCTGGAACCTCCTATTTCATACGCTCCTCCTTCTCTCTATCCGATGAAGCTCCCGTTCTGTTACCCTAAACCTAGAGTGAGAGAGTGCCGGTTTCTTCTGAGCTTTAGCTCCGGCTATGCTCTGGTGAGACCTTGCGGTTCCTATTGGGGTCTTCACTCTAGTCTGGTAGTGTGGTGGGTTGTTTACTCCTCCGGTGGGGCTTCTGGGCTGGGGTCTGGGTTCTGAGTGTGAGGGTTTGTTGGTTGTCACCCTTCGTCTTCCCTGGTTGTAACTCTGGTGGTGAGTATGAGCAAGCCTTTGGGCTTTGTGGTGATTGAGGTCTGAGTCGGTCCGGATTCCTAACAGTGGTATCAGAGCCTGGACATTGCTGCCTCTCTCGCTCACCGGAGAACTCCCACACTGGTAACGCCTAGAGACTCCATCGGAGAAGGTAAGTCCGGTTGTCTCTCAGTGACACCCGCTCAGGTATAACGCTGAAACCCTAACCCTTGGGCTGCCGGAGTGCCACCGGCTTCTGTGATCCATGGGTAGTTCTGAAACCCTAGGTTGAGGAACTGCCGGTTAGAAACCCTTGTTTTTAACTGTTGCATGTATAGATTCTGTCTAGACAGATCTGCAGAAACCCTAGGTTTGTTGAACTAGTGCATGGGTGGTGCTAATCTGTGTCAAACTTAGCCCACCGTTGTTTGTGATATTATCTGAGCACCTTTGTGATTCCTACTTGTTTGCTGGCCCTCTGTTGTTTGTGGTTATCTGTTTCCAGTATACTTCTTTACCTGTGTTGATAGTTTCTGATCCATTGTAATACTGTGGCTGTAAACCCCTAGTTGGCTAAGGCACCTGAGGTTAGGGCTAGGGGATTCCCTGTCAGCCACCTCAGTGGCCCCGGATCTGCGTGGTCCCTTAGTCCGCAGCCTAACCTCCTAGGGCTAGGCTTCTGCATTACATTTGGCTCATTAACTGTGTGTGCTTGTTGTTTATCATGGCTTCAAACCAGTATGGTATGATGCCTTTTAATGGTAAGACTGATTTTGATATTTGGAAACAGAAAATAAAATGTGTGTTAATTCAACAAAAAGTGTATAGAGTTGTTACTGGACAATACTTAGAAACTGAGGATAAACCTAAACAAGTTGAAATGAATGAAACAGTCTGCTCAACCATATATTTAAACTTGTCTGACTCTGTCCTTAGAAAGGTTGGAGTCATTGAGTCTGCTAAAGCCCTCTGGGATAAACTTGAGTCTCCATATACTGATACTTCCCTTCCTGGTAAACTGTTTTTGTTGGAAAATTTTTTTAGATTCAGACTTGACCTAACAAAAGATATTGATGAAAACTTAGATGCTTTTAATAAGCTAATCCAAAACATTAAGCAGGTTGGGGATAAACATATAGATGACTACACTGCAATAGTTTTACTCAATGCTATACCTGATTCCTATAATGATGTTAAGTCAGCCATTAAGTATGGGAGGGATGACATAACTCTAGATATTGTCATTAATGGCCTGAGAAGTAAAGAACTGGATTTAAAACACTCTAGGAGTCATCATAGGGAATCTGGGGAAGCTCTGTTTGTTAGAGGAAGGTCTAAAAGCAGGTCTAGACACTCTAAAAAGGACAATCAAGATAAGAATAGTAGACAACCTGGTAAGAAAAGGTATAAGTCTAAGAAAAGAGTGTGTTATAACTGTGGGAACCCAGGTCATTTCATAAAGGATTGTACCCAACCCAAAAGAAATGAATAAGCCAACTCTGTGACCAATAAGGAAATTAGTGAAGAAGTGTTCATGGTCTGTGATCAGGCTAATTCTGTCCTAAGCAACCTAACTGAACTTGAATGGTTAATGGATTCAGGTTGTACCTACAACATGAGTCCTTTTAAAAATCTGTTTGCTTCTTATAGTACTTGTGATTCTGGTTATGTGTCCCTAGCTGACAATAAGAAGTGTAAGGTCCATGGTGTGGGTGACATAAGTCTTAAATTTG